ATAATAAGTATATTAATGTTTTGTCATAAGTTGCAAATACCTTTTTCACAAGTAGAATAATTCAGTGATTTGATATGACACATTTATCATAAACCAGAATGCTTATACATGCTTGGGTCTTTTTCTGTTCCATTGATTTCTCTCTTTATTCTGGAATTAGTACCATTTTGATTGATTATTGTAACTTTAAAATAAATTTTAATATGTGGTGTAGGACATGTATTTTTTTCCCAGATATAAATTTTCTAAATAACTTTATTGAGGTTTGATTTATGAACAGTAAATTACACATACTTCAAATGTACAATTTGATGAGTTTTGATAGACATACACACGTTGAACCACCACAACAGTCAAGATAGCTAATATTTCCATCATCCTCCAAAATTTCCTTGTGTCCTTTTGCAACCCAGCTTTCTCTCCATTCCTGTCCCCAGACAACCAATGAGTTGCTTTCTGTCACCATAGATTAGTTTGCATTTTATAGAATATTATGTAAATAGAACCATACAGTATGTACTCTTTTATGTCCGGCTTCTTCCACTTAGCATAAAAATTGAGAGACTCATTCATGTTTTTGTGTGAGTCAGTAATTTGTTCCCTTTTTTGCTGATTAGTATTGCATGTATGAATGTACCACAATTTTTTATCCATTGCCCTGTTGATGGACACTTGAGTTATTTCCCATTTTTGGCTATTACAAATAAAGTTGCCATGAGCACTCGTGTACAAGTATTTGTGTGAATGTATATTTTCATTCCTCTTGGCTAAATATCTAAGAGTGGAATGGCTGGGTCATAAGGTAGGTATATGTTTAATTTTTGAAGAAACTGACAATTTGTTTCCCAGAGTGTCACATTTTACATTTTCCAAAATAGGGCATATATTTAAATCTTCTGAATTATATTATTCACAGAAAGACTGTCTCTAATTTGTCTGCCACTAACAGGCTATGATTTGGGCAGACCTTTTAGCATTTTTCTTATTAAGTTTTATTGATGAATTACTACTGTGTTCTAAAATAAGCACATATTTTTAGCTAGTTGCAGTTTTAAGTATCTAGGTATTCCCACATAATAAAGTAGGTAATACTTCACTTTGTGAATTTATTTTTTAAATAGTGGTAAAAAAACCCCACATAACATGAAATCTACTCTTACCAGGTTTTTAAGTGTACAGTACAGCATTTTTAACTATATGCACATTGTTGTATAGCAGATCTGTAGAACTCTTCCTGTGACTCAATTAAAACTATGTATTTTGAAATAAGCAGAAGCAAAATATTGTATAAAATTACCCTGGATTTTCTAGATTTTAATTCTTGCTCCTCTACTCATGGGATCTTCAACAAATTACTTAACCTCCCTGGGTCTCAGTCTCCTCGACTATATGATGGGGATAATAATAATATCTACTTTGTAGGATTGTTGTTGAGATGAAGTGATAGGAAATGGCTAGGGCATTGTCTGGTACATAGTAAGCATTAATAAAAGTTACCTATTTTTATTATGTTTTTCCTTCCTTCAGAAAAAGAATGAAAATTCTAAAGTAGATGCCTTTTATTCATATTCTGTCTTTAATATTTTGATTAAAGAAATGCATTCTATTTATGATTATATTTATTTAATTAAGTATAAATTTATGTACAACTTAATATTCAAAATTTCCTTGCATTGTTTTTGTTTTTTGTTATTTTTGGTTGTTTCTCTACATAGTTGAAGTACTCTTTTTTTTTTTTCCAAATTTTCTAAAATTTATTCCATCCATCTATCCACCTTTCTATCTAAATACATTTATAAGGAAATGTCTAGAATAATGTTTAACAAATATTAATGGTGGTTACTTCTAGATAATGGTATTTAAGTTTTGTTTTTAAAATTACTTTGTATACTCTTCCATTTTTTTATTTTTTAAAATTCAAGTTGAGGGCCGGCCCGTGGCTCACTCGGTAGAGTGCGGTGCTGA